ACAATGACTACCGTTGGCACAAAACCATACCAACGGAACCCCGAGCACCTCTGGCTTTTCATTCGACAACCACCACCCAACCTCAGCCCCTCCAACGTCTCATCATGACCCCCTAGCCAACATTCCCGTCCAACCCATCAACTCCTCCAACATCAACGTCTCTTTCATGCCTCCTCCCCCTTCCGTGTATTACAACTACTACGACCCTAGCTCAACCTCACCCAAGATGGAAATGGATGAATCCTCTTCCACCGTTGCACCCTCAGCTATCAACACGAGCGCCCCAAGCGGCAATAACACACAAGCAAATTCAAACAGCATGTCGGACTGGTTTGCCCTCCCACTCGATCAGTTCTTCAACAGCTCTACCGCAGGAGTTGACCAGGGCCTCGGAGGTACCGGCCCAATGGTGGGCGAATTCGACATGTTGGAAGTCCTGCTCAAAGAGCAATATACTGGCGACAACAATGCAAACGGTACTAGCACTAATGGACAGGCCCCTGTTGCTGCCGTTGCTACAAATGGTGGTGGGATGACGTCTCATTTCCTGTAACGATTTCCCTTGCTATCTACTTTCTCATTCTTACCCCTCCTAGATGTTTACTACAAGGATTTGTTAGCACGACAGATTTATTTCTATATTATTTCCCCCTCTTTTTTACCAGGTGGATAGCCCGGGGAATGGTAGACTCGGGGTTTTGGTTCTTGATCTTATTAACCTTTACGCCGCTTGGGAGCTCTCTGTTCGATTTATGTCTATATGTCCTGCCTGTATATATTGTCATGTCTGCCCCTTTTATCATCCAGTCTATATGAGTTGGCCTTCCTGTCCCCTTTGTCCCGTTCCTTACGGCTGTTTTATATGCAAGCTGATATCAAGTGATAATCTCGCCCTTTTGGATGCCTTTCCAGATCAGGGTTTGTCTATAGTTTTTTTAGTCGTATATATATGTGATGAATGTTAACCTGTATATCAAACGTTTTTTTTTTTTTTTGCTTGGCTTCCTTCCCCTGAATGTGCTTTGTGAAGCGAGCTGTATGTGGCCCTGCCCAGCAATACTATCTCCCTCCAACTTCCCGTCTCCCCCTTGCAACCAGCAGTAACGTATCAGGTACTCCATACTACCCCCGAAATCGAGGAATATGACTTCAGGAAAAAGTTTGAGATATTTTGAAATTAACCAAAACACGAAGTAATTTCAAGTAATTTCTTACAAATACATGCAGCGTCTATCATAAATATTGTTTTTCGCACTAAAAAAATCCAAAAAATTTTGGGGGGTATAGAACAAGAAATATAGACAATAACAGTGGTGACATAAGTCATGAAACGAGGAGGTATAACAAGCCAGATTATTACCTCAAATCTCCTGAACATCAAGTCCCCATATCTCCCAATGTTTCAAGACATCCCAACCCACACGTTTGACGTGTCTTTTCCACACAAAGGGTTGGTCTGCGTTGCCTCTTATCTGCGTGAAGCAGTCATTTAGACTCTGCCGCAGGTTTTCGGGTATCTGGGCAAATAATTGCTCATCCAAAAAAGATAGAGCAGGGAAGGTGGGCGTCTCATTCCCACTTGTAGTATTCTCGGGAGCATTGAAGTGTCCAGAGCTTATATTTGAACCAGCCGAAGGGGGATGTTGTTGCTGCTTTTTCGCTGTGGGTTCCATTATTGGCGTATATGCTTCTCCTCCAGGGGGCGGAAGAAGAGCTGATGAATTCTGTTGGCTATTATATTTCCGCTTGCCTAGCGGATTTCGGTTTTCTAGTGGAGAACTTATAGGTTGTGGCTGTTGTGTTGGCCATGATGGTAAGTTGGAGCTATCAGGTCCATAATTTTCTGGCCTCATCATGGGGGGATTCCTCAGGATTGAAGGTATATGGCCATTTGTACCCGAATTAGACACGCCAACTGGGGTGTGTGGTTTTGTTCCATTGCCATTTGATATATCACCAGAAGCTGGTAGAGTTTGGCTACTAGTTGGAGCCGACTCTTTGTATAATCCGCCGATTTGCCAGGCCTTCCAGCCTATACCGACTATCTTGATATTGTTGTAAATTGGGTCAGCGAGGTGCAGCGAAAGGGTTTGTATATGGAAAGAGTCGTCAATGTCAACCAGCCTCGCAAGATCCCGTGAATCAGATGGAGGAAGAAGTGATAGATCAGGCCGCGGAAAACAGTTTGGCTTGTGAGGACGGTTGACTATATTACTGTTGATTCCAGATTGCCCTAGTCCACATGTGCGAACGTTACCTGTAGGTGTTGTACTCCTTAGGTCATTATCCTGCAGTGTTGGTATTAGAATCCGGAGCGCTTCAAGTTTCTTCAAGAATGGAAGTACAATCCCCATTACTTCAAGGCTATTCCCATCGACAGCTATTGCAAGCTGCTCTAGGTTCGGGCAAGCATGAACCAGCTTGACAACCAGTGGTACTGGCATATTCATTCGCGCAGGAAGGAGTAGTCGTTTTAGTGTAGCACCATGAACTGAAATAATCGTAGACACTTGCATTTCTCTTAGGGATGCTCGTGAAGTTGATGGTTGTATACCAGGTCCAGGCGGTGTTGGATGGTTCTGCTGGTATTCGGGGCCCATGGGTTGGTTACCACCACTTGGGTGGGCTGTAGAAGGGGATGGCGGGTATGAGACGCCTGGCCTTGAATTGTTGACATAGTCTATTGGTTCTCGCAAGGGGTTGACAAAGTATAAATTTTCAAGGGGGCTAAGCTGGTGTAAGAAATCTATGCCCCGTTTCTCTACACGATCAACTCGAAATGTCTTTAGCATCGACATTTCTTCCCGAGGCCCTGGTGCCGGCCAACTTGCCTCAACAAAGGTCATGGCAGCGTTATCGCTGGAATTGGTGAGCATGGTAATCTCTTCAAGAGAACTATGGGTGACTCCGGGTCCTGATTTCCCTGGATGAAGTGCAAAGAAGTTCTGAAATGCTATCTTTTTCAGTCGTAATGGTGATTTCGCCGAAATACACCTTCGGAAGTAATCAGAGAGAGCAACGCTCGGCTCCTGAGATTCCCGCATTCGGGGAGACCAGTGCATTCTTAGATCACACAGCTTTTTGCTGCCAAATAGTAGTAGAGAGATATCATCCGGATAACAAAGAGGATCTATGTCTGTGACCTTGAGGACGCGTAGGTTTGGCATAGGAGGAATGATAGTCGTAGGTCTAGGATGTCGACTCGACGGGAACCGAAGTGTCAAGGACTGAAGGTTCTGAAGCTGCGCAAGTCCCTGACATACAGTCTCCAGTGCTTTCGTATTACTTATTTCCCAACTGTGTAATGCGTGAAAGCTATTAGCTAAATGTATCTTTCAAAATGTGTAGCGGGCTTACTCGAGTGTGAAAAACATAGGTTGTGTATAAAGCAGTGGCAACCGCATACCTGAAGCTCTCTAACCCAACCATTTTGTCAATAGCAGCTCGAACACAGATATTCAACATCATTGACGAGTCCGGGACTCGTCCAACTCGAGCATGTTCTTCCAACCCGTCTTCTCGCCATTCGCCGCGCAGTGTTATTGATCGAACAAGTGGCGCTACATTACGGGTGACCAGCGCATTCAGTCCCATTGAAAATGGGCTCGCACTTCCATATCCCTCAGGCAGATCATCCTCGTTATATCGTATCTGGCCGTAGGAGGTAAGGGTGAGGTTTTTGTAAAGCTGTGGGAGGGCCATGTAATTCAGCACACGACAAGTGCGGCAGAGCCGCGCGAGGTCATCAACATCGTCAAGCTAGGAGAGATAACAACATTGGCCGGGAGATCTGAGCTAGAGAATAGCTACATGATATGCGAAACAGGCCCTTCAGCTCTCCGTCCTTTCCTTCTTGCGGCTACGAGGGTACATACGTTGGATACTATCAACGCGATTAGATTCAACGGCAGCCTCATCAGCCCCGGGCCCCTCACGGGCAGCTCATGGCTGACGCCAGCACCAAACATGTGGGGATTGACATTCGACATCGATCGAGGTGTTCATTGAAGGTGGTTTATCATTTCTATTAATGCCGGCGTTGAATCGACGGATTTGAAGCGCAGTCGGAAACAGTGTTGAAGCTTTCGAAGTTTGGCTAACGTCAGCGAACATTCGGATATGCTTTTCCTTGCATGCGTTTTCTGCAAGGCTATGAAAACACTAAGAATAACGTGGGCTTTTCTGGGCATAAACGAGCCGCTGTATCACCGCAGCCGTTCTGCAAAGAAGCATGTCGTTCTACGGAACGCTACTGGCATGTAAAAGCTTCTCGGGACTCGATTTAGTTGATATTTGCATGAATTGGTGAGCGTTCTGCATCTAGAGATTACTATAGGAGAGAACAAAGGTAAGAATGAATGTACACGAAGGTGGTCATAATGAAGATAGGCCGTCAAGTTTTCTCTTTTGAACGCATCCCAAAAAAGACGAAGAAGAAAATGACGGGGAAAACAACGAGATAAAGGAATGGTAACATAGATTTCCAGAAATTACTCCGCGCTAAAATGAACAGGTTATATGTTCCAAGTGAGTCGACATCCTATCTGATGTCAAGGTCTGATGACGAGTGTTGCCGTGTTGTTGATGTAGCTGCTCCGGTATGTGACCGGGAATCGGGTGGCTCCGGCGGTTGCTGGCTTGAATGAGAGCTGGATGTGCTTTCAGTCGTTTCAGAATGGTCATGTTGCTCCCGGTCATCTTGACATCGTGGAGAATCTGACATAACGTCCTGTTCATCTTCCTCATCTTCTTCAAACATTATGTGTTGAACATGCCTTGGATCCATATGGGTGGCATTTTTTCCCGGGTCCCGTGAATTCGCACCTTGTGGTGGAGATGAAATCAGTGGAGATGGTGTCCCTTGTTCGGTAAGAGCGTGCGGATTAGGACTTGAGTTCGTTGGGCTGCTGAAAAAGGGACGGCCAGGCTCATCCACACCTGGAGTTGACCACGTAATGGCTGATCGTGACCGGGCTGGAATCACCATGACAGGTAGCGGCGTTTCTATCCTTTTCCGTTCGCCGGGCGACTCACCCCATCGGAAGCGTGAATTAGGGGTTGTAGAATCTTCCCTCGGGTTTGTTTGCGCTCGTTCCCGCTTGCTCTTTGCCGGTATAACGGTGACAGGGAGGATTGGAGGCTCCATATCACGCTTCTCAGACGAGCTTATCCAGTCTCGGTGAAGATGTGATGCTACCATGCTCAATGCTGGGGGGAATTTCCATCGACTCTCACGCTCTTCGGAGAGGCCTGTAGCTAAAGTAGCAGTGGCAGCCATTCCTTCCTCTGCCTGTGCTGTTGCAACCTCCTGTGGTGGCGATCCACGTCTTCGTTTAAAAGGATTGACAGCGTTAAGCCAGCCTATGCCTATTTTCCGGGAAGGAACTGGGGTAATTATGTCACTTTGACCCATAGGAAGTGTGGTCTGTTTGGTTAAATCCGCGGAACCCCTCCTTTCAACTTGTCCTGTCCGTGTTAGATCAGAGTTAGAGGCCAACGGTGTGCCCACGGAGTGATATCGGACACAATAGAGCGTGCTTGTAGCGCTAGTTGTATTCTCCCGGCTAACTGGGCTGGCCACAGCAGGAGGTGGAGCCGTCTCGACAACCTGAGTTGCCTCGATATCTGAAGGGGTGTTTTCTGTCTTGCGTCTTTTTCGTTCATGAATATGAGGAGATCGGGGACGCTGTCGGTTCCGCGGCCGAAATGGGTTGTGTGATAGTATCCCGAGGCGCCCCCAGGCTGGACCGCGCCTAAATCCTCCATCATTTCCACCACGACGAGATGAACCGGCCACTTCTGATGGAGTTACGTCAAGCATTTCATCTCCGTCAAAAATCTCACGCCCCAAGATACCATCCTTCCGTTCCTCACGCTCCAGCGCCTCGATTCTTTCAACCCATTCCCAAACCACCACGCTCGCTGCTGCTGCACCCACCCAGCGAATGTATTCACCCCAGCCAGCAATATTAGGCTGAGAAACGTCCAAGATAAAGAAAGCAACGGGTATCAAAAGTGCAAGCAAAGACAACAACGCAACGAGGCAGATATTCTGCATCTTGGGATGAAAGAAAGCAAACCTATGCTTGGAAAGTGAGTAGAAAACGACCCAAGCTGCATAGAGCATGCTAAGGGCCAGTTCGAATAGGTAGTTGAGAGCAGGGACTGCATCACGAAGTTTTCCGGGATGGACTATTGTGGTCCCCGGATGTACAAAGTTGTTAAGGATGCTGAATATGGTGTCAAGCACAATAAGTGCAAATCCCACCCATTTGATGACGACTTTTTCTTTGTGTCGTGGGAACAGCCGAATTAATGTCTGGACTTGCGCGAGCCAGAGAAACGTGCTTGATATGACACGTATAATACGCAATTCAAGGCCGTTGACAACCTCATTCGTGAGAGCTGTGGAGTCCATGTATCCCATTTCATACTGTTTTTTCGCAACCGCAAATGAGTCCGCGGTAGCAATCGTAAGTGATATCGCAACTGTCAATGCTGCTATCTTCTGCAGCCATGGCCTCCCACCCACACCGATGACTGAACTGCTGCCATATGACCCGCTGATCATGCCATGCCGACCGAGGAAGCCTCCGCCACGGCCTCCTATAAAAAAAGTACGGGGAGTGATGAAAAGTATGATGGAGAGGACGTAAGCTAGCACCGTCGCGGTTGCAATAGCATACATCTGCGGTGAGGTCGAGGCGTAGAAATGCTCGCGGACATCCACGATCGTTGACGGGTCGTATGTTTCTGGTTCGACAACGGTGGTACAGGACGGCTCAAAGACGGCATCTTGACTCAGAACGACGGAAAATGTATCATTGAAGACAAGAGTGCCTAGATTTTTATCAAAGAGAGACAACCCCGGATTAGTACTGATGTGTCCTCTCCTCTGCCTGGAAGAACGCGTGTGTGTGCCGCTCCACTTCACCATGGCATGATATGAAACGAGATAGAGGGTATATCTTACCTCCTTTCCCCAGGGTCAACGGGCTACATGGGTGCCTTGAGCCGTTGAACTTCCCTTGCTGGATCTGCCAGCCATAATTTGAAGGCATGGTGCCCGGGTACCTGGGCTATCCGAAGAGTTATTCGTGAAGGCTGCCATTCAAACAACGGTTGTTCCTCCCAACATGACAGCCGTGAAACACGCAAAGGACCGGGGCGAAGAGCTTGAGCGGAACCTCGCCGGTCAGCAGCGAGTCGAAGGGGTCAAACTTGTTCGAGGTGAAAACCGTTAGCGGTCGCTCCGTCGGTCCTGCGCCGTACAGGGTCGTATGCACCAGGAGATCAGCGGGTGCGATAATGATAAATGCAGAGTCCGACAGCGGCCGTCGTGATCGTCTTTCTGGTCGGTTTGTCTCGCCGCCGCTGCTGCGTGAAGGCAGGAGCGAGTCTTCTAAGGTCGTTGGCTTCCCTTTTCGGCCTTGTCGCCCGCCGCTTTCTCTGATTGGCCAAGCAACGCCAATAAAAGCCAAGTTTAAAGAAGCACGTGCAAAGTGGATCTGCTTAGTCATTTATCTATTAAGCTTTTTATGCCAAGACGAGCCTATTTTTGGTGAAGCGACGCAGGCGGGACGAAAAGGGGGCCAAAGGAGGCTGTTTGTTTATATTTTTTTGGAGGCTGCGGCGAGCGCTAGCCATGGAGTAAGTAGTACTCTGTTGAGGCGCCCGAGACGCGTAAATTGGACCTGGCTAAACGGCCCACACAAAACATTACTGTACATAGTAAAAATAGGTATATATATGTGTGCGTGTGCGCGTGTATGCTTAAGAGTATCACCACTCTGTTGAACGAAGGAAAGGAAAGGGGGAAAAAAGAAAATGGAAAAGGGGTATATAAGGACCGGGACATGGAGGGAATCATATGAGACATTATCAACTTTTATCGTGGGGGCGGGCTGAATGTCATCTGCCCAGGAGCGACGTAAGGTGCGCTGACAGTGTTACCGCCAGTGCGAGAAGATTCCTCACGGGTTTTGATTTCTCGCTCGTCTTGTATGAGAGTACAACAAGTACAGCACGAAGCTCGGACACAGTCGGACATGATTCCGCCAGGGATACCATAGGCCCGTCTTATCCGCGTATGCTGTATGGTTGCCAGTAGCCCTATTTACATTAGACATATATATCTACAGCGAACGGGGATGTGAGAGGAGGAGTAGCCTACATTGACATCCGCATAATAGAGCCATGGCAGTGCATGATGCATTGCAGGACTCATATCCAAGCATATTAGTCGGGTCTTGCCGTTTTGATTTTCTTGAAAGGCGGTGCTGCGTTCGTCCATATAGAATGCACGGGCACCACAGACCCAAGCAGCAGATACCTATATCCGAGCATGCGCAAAGTCCATTTGTCCAGCTTCCACCCTTGACGCTTTGTTGGGGGTGGAAGGCTTGGCCGGGGGCATGGCATTGTATGTCTGGAACGGCAGATATACTTCTGCCGTTCATCCTCTGAGGCCCTGAATGTGAGGCATAAGTTGGGGCGGGTGACTGCGGTGCTAAAGGGTTGCTGTCAGGGACAATTGCGGCCTCCTCTGCCTGTCGCTCCCTAGCTTCTGCTTCCGGATTTTGCTTTACCGGCAATGGGCCGGGAGACTTAGGAACTGCCATAGGGGAATGAGGGACTACTCCATGTTGTTGCTCTTGTAGGTGTTGATGCTGCTGTAGGAAATGCTGCTGATGTTGGTACTCTTGTTCCCTCTGATGTTGTTCTTCCTGCTGTCGTGGCTGCTGTTGTTGAAGGTATTTTTGCTCTTGGACTTGGTGTATCTGGCGTTGGTTTGGCGGTGGAGTGGTACTATCGGCAAATGGGGCGAATTGGGCAGGGTGTTCAGAAAGTGGAGGTGGAGATACGTGAGTGTAGATGTTATTCACATAATCGGCATCGTTTCTATTATTCGACACCGTCGATATTGATTCATCCACTATCTTATCGCCATCGGGCGACACATACGAAAACGGACGGTGGTTACCCGGCTGGTTGGGTTGTGAATGAGATTGTTGGTTTGTCTGCTCAGAGGGAGCAGTGTGACGGGGGTTATCAGGCGAGGAAAATGTTGGCCCTTGTAGAGCGACTGGAGTGTGAAGGTACGAGTAAGGCCTTTGTTCCGGCTGTTGTAGATGTTGCTGCTGGTGTTGCTGGGGGTAAAGATGGGGAGGATAATGTGGCGCATTGCCATAGTACGGCGGATGGTTCGACATTGTTGGTAGTGTGTCGAACTAATTCCGGCGAAAGATAGAAAACGAGTCACTCATGAGCATCTAGATAATGCCACCTGTGGCCCTATACCTGCAACAAAAGGGGCGGGGAGGGGAGTCCTTCAATGGAGGTTGCGCAAGCGGATGATCTGGTAATTTCTGCGCTGGCGTTGCCTTGGGATGCACGAACCCGTTCAGCTCGTCAGTGGCAGCCTGATGCGGGTGTAAATAGTTGGATATCCGAAGGATCAAAGTCGTGGATTAGCCTGCTCTGCAACGTTGTGTCGATAAACACTCGTCTTCCCAGGCGCAGGGTAATATGGTGGAAAACGAGTATTGCCAGGAGCAGTGAGATTATATTCAAAATCCATCATGAACATCAACGGGGGCGGCGCTTAGCCCTGCTCGTATTGGACGAAAACATCTCTCAATAGCAGAACAAGGGGCCCCGGGAGCTTCGGAGGAGAAATGGGGGTGACGGAGACTGCTGTGCTTATACACTGCAGGAAGCTGACCTGTCTGGACGAATAGCCAGGCGCCTCAGACGAAAAAGCGACCCGACTGCTCGGTTGAAGCCCCCCCGATGCCCTGCGGTTCGAGTGTGATACCATGGTGATCGGGCCTGTGATGCTGCCCCTTGGCTCTGTGGACAAATAATATCGAGCGATTCGCCCTGGCGCTGCAACCAGGATGCGGCCAGCCTCCGCCCAACGCCTCGAGCCTTGGAAATGCGGTCTTGACTGGCTGCCGGCGATGATGAGGAACTGCCAGTTTCAGACTAGTTTGAAGAGACTCCGTTGTTCATTGGCGGTTGTATGAAGAAATGCACAACAAGGGCGCAACGCATTTGTACAGATTGGTTTCGTCGGCCTGTTGCATGTTTTGACCTCAGCGGGTGTCCTAACACACTCACCGCTTCAAAATAGGTAAAACAACGGAGGAGGAACTAGTCCTATCGGCCCGTGAGCGGGTGACCTACGGAGTCCATGTCTTGTCTCTCCACATGGGCGCTTCGAGAGACGAGGAACACGGCTAAATTGCAGTCAGGATATGTAGCTTAGTCAGCTTGCACCTAGTTTTATATTCGGTGCTACAAGGCTTACTCCGGACCTCTTCACGTTTAGGTTGTATCAGCGGCGGGCCCTTATCAGAGCACCACAGGCAGAAAGAGCTCCAAGACAACGCCAACTAACCAACCAGTTAATGAGTTAACGAGTTGCGACGGGTTCCTACCAAAAGATAAGGCCCCCACCCTCTCCAGATTATCTAACTACTCTGTACCAATTCAAATACCAGCAAGAGCTTGTTTAAGCGCAATAGCCTATATAAATTCATACCATATCGAGGCATGTTTGGCCTTCGAGATACCCGGACGACTACACTTGGAATTGTCAAAACTATGTCGTTGGCCTTCTTGGGGAATTGGGGGCTCGGGGCCTGCTTAAGGCTGGTTAGAAGACGGGAGCGGACGCTATTAAGGCGAGCATAGATAACTAGGGTTTAGATACTATTCTAATATTCAATTCGAAGACTTTTAGTATATAAATATATAAGAACTATAGAAGATATTCTATTTCTGCATTACTTGTGAAGTTGTGATAAATATTTGGATCCATTGATATGTTTAAGGATTATAATGGTTCAGAATCAAGCGTTGGTTTGTAGTAGAATGTTCACTTTCTATAGAGAGGAGAATAATATTAAGGGTAGTATTCTATATATTTACTAGACTAACTATAGACTTCTATAATTATATTAGTATATTTGAGAATTTGATAGAAGAAGGAGTATATTGGGTAGAATATACCTATATAATATATAAAGAGGGAATAAATAATAGCAAGGTATAAATATTCTATCTCTCGCTATAATAGAAGTATATAAAGTAAGTTTACTATAAGGCTAAAATTTGCTACTAGATATAGGATCCTAGCAATATTAAAATCAGAAAATAGAGTGGTGTATACTCTACTATCGATCGAGGAGCCAATGATAGAAAAATCGAGCCGGACCAATACAAGGAGATAGATAGATATAGACGGTGAAAGTTAGAGTTGGTTATAATTTTAGCTACAGATAGATATAAGGATGGACAGTACTCAACCTATAGGTAAATAGGTGGGTGTGGGTTTTACCTATAATAGGCAGCTGGCGAGGGTAGTAGGTAGGTAATAGATAGATTTAAAAATTTAAGTAGGTAGATAGGCTACCTATAGAATCTATCTATAAGGTTTAATATTTTTATAGTTAAAATATAAATCTTATAAATATAAAAATTAGTAATATAGTATATTATTAAAAACTATTTAAAATATTATTTACTAGTATATAAAAATTTAACTTAAAAGATATAAAATTTAATTTAATCTTTTAATTATAAAATTCTAAAAGTATATAAAATATAGTTATTATATATAATATATAAAATTATAATATTATAGATATAATATATAGAAAATATAAAAAATATAATTAAAATATATATAATAAAGAGAAATTAATAATAAAGCTAATATTACTACTAAATATAAAAGTAGAGTATAATAGAAAAGAATATTAAAATTAAGTAAGTAAATACTAGATTAATATCTATTTATTATAGTAATATATTTAAATACTAGAAGAGGTTAGTTTATATCTATTTTTCTCTTCCTTATTAATAGATATAGTTAATTAATAATAAGAAAGTAGGTTCTTAGTATTACTAATATACTTCCTATTTAAGAACTCTATAATAATAAATTCTATTACTTAGTTAAGGTATTATATATAATAAAGGGATATTATAGAAGAAAAATTTTTAACCTTAGAGGGGTTATTAATAATAAATTTATCTCTATTAAGGCGATTAC